CCCCCCCACCGTAGCAGGGAGTGCTGGCTGGCTCATGGAGGGGAGCAGCATTTTTGTCTCCTGAGGTTGGTGCCTCTTCTGGGCTGGCTCCGAAAGGCCTGTCCCTCTCTGCTGCTGCTTGCCCAGGGCCTCCCTGCTGGGGCAGCGGCTTTGTTGGACAATTAGGGAGTTTCTGCCATGCGGAGACCTGCGGGAGGGTGAGCTGGGCAGAGGCCATCCCAGGGCTTGGGATTGCAGGTGGGGGGATGGAGAATCAGGGAGACTGGGCTCTCATGTCCATCCTGCTCCTTCCTCTGTTGCAGATCTTTGGCGACTATTACCACTTTCGGCACAGTGGCGTGGTGAAGCGTTCCCTCTCGCCCCACCAGCCCTGGCACAGCCGTTTGGCCAGGGAACCACAGGTACGTGCAGCGGGGACCCTGCCTGCCATCTGCGGCAGCCTGGCTTTGGTCCTGGGCACTCCACACTGGCATGTGAGCCAGCACTGGGCGCAGGACGGGGCTGAGCTGCCTTGAACCGTCCCCTGGCATTGAGGCTGTGGCAGAGCCGGGTGGGAGCCCAGCACGTGGCTGGCGAGGGCAGGGGGTCAGCGGAGCCAACGTCACCGTCCTGAGGGCTGCTGTGATCCCAGGGCACGGGGCAGCCTCGGCTCCCTGGAGGGCTGTCCGTCCTCGTACGCCAGGCAAGGTGTGCAGGGTGGCGTTGGCAGTGCCAGATCCCAGCACGGTGGGGCTGCCGTGATCTCCAGCTCCTGGCTCCGCTCCAGGGGCCTGGCACGCTGGCAGTGCAGTGGGGCGTGCAGCACGTCGCAGCGGCTGGCAGGCTCTCATCACCCTGCTGCTCGACAGAGCTCTGCGCTCTGACCTGCCCGCTCCGCTGGAGCAGAGCCTGTCACGGGGCACCCCAGCACGGCTGGGCCAGGGAGGCCAGGAGGGGCTGTCTGGGTGCTGCAGTAACTCCTGCGGGGTCAGATGCTCTGCCAGCGCAGGGCTGGCTGCAAGTTCCCCAGGGGGAGCCTCTGGGCAGGCTGCTGGCTGGGGGGCAGGGGGCCCGGGGAGCTGCTGGCATGGCTGCAAGCTGCCGAGGGGGCAGGTGGGGCAGTGGGGGAGCCCCATCCTCTCTCTGTCCCCAGGTGCAGTGGCTGGAGCAGCAGGTAGCAAAGCGCAGGACCAAGCGAGACATTTTCATGGAGCCCACAGACCCCAAGTTCCCACAGCAGTGGTACCTGGTGAGTGCCAGGCGGGGGCTGCTCGCTGCCGGGCCAGGAGGGAAGCTGCGCAGTCATGACAGCGAGTTCTGGGGACGCGGATGTGGCACGCATCCAGGCTGGCGGGGAGAAGGAAGGCCCGAGGCAGTCGCTCGGTGCTGTGGGTCCTGGGACACCCCAAGGAACAGGCTGTGCTCACAGAGCTGCAGCTCCCTGCCAGGGTGCTGGCAGGGTTGGGGGGAACCCAGGACTGGACTAGTGGGGAGCAGCCCTTTGCCTGGCCCAGGAATGGCATCTGTGCCTGTCTGTGTCATCAAGCTGGGGCATGAGCCTGATCTCTGCGAAGGGACCCATGTTTATGGGGGCCCAAGCACAGGTGGGGCTCAGGCTCATTTCAGAGTGGCCCTTCTTGGGCAGCCGTGCCCAACCCTGTGCCTGGGTACCCTGGGGTTTCCTCATCCCCATGCCACAGCAGAGTGGCGTGAAGGCTGTCTCTTGCCTGCCCTTAGAGCCGGGCCTGGGAGGGGTCCAGCCCACCCCCGCTGCTGGGCGCAGCTCCTATTGCCAGGGCTTCTCTCGGCAGTACAACACGAACCAGCGGGACCTGAACGTGCGTCAGGCCTGGGAGCAGGGCTACACGGGCAAGGGCATCGTGGTTTCCATCCTGGATGATGGCATTGAGAAGAACCACCCTGACCTGGAGAGCAACTATGTAAGTGTGGGGCGATGCCGCAGGGCGGTGTGCCGCGGGAGCCTCTCTGGGCAGCTGCCTCCACCCGCTGCAGCCCCGGAGCTGCCTGGCACGGGGCTCCTGCCTGCTGTGGCGGGACGTGGAGGAAAGCGGTGGGGGTGGGACCGGAGCCTGCCCCCCTGCTCAGCCCAGCCTCAGGGGTGTGGAGCACAGGCATGGCCCCACAGCGGTAGGGCTCGGTGGGCAAGGTCCATGGTCTCTAACTGCCAGATCTGTCTTCCAGGATCCGGGGGCGAGCTTTGATGTCAACGACCAGGACCCAGACCCGCAGCCGCGTTACACCCAGATGAACGACAACAGGTGAGGCAGGAGGCAGCGGCGGGGGCGGCAGAGC